TGTTTCAGCGCCTTCTCGATCTCTTTTCGCCGTAATCTTCCGCTTCCACGTGGGCTAAACCCAGATGTCCATGTAAAACTTGCCTTGGCCAGGGCTGAAGCCAGACATGAACTTCGGTTCCGAAATGAGGCCGTTCAAAATCGTGCTCTTTCCTAAAATCTAAATCCTTAAACCTTTTTCAAATCATAATAAAAGGTTTTCGGCACCGAAAAACCAAAAAATCCTAAAAAATGTAAAAACGTCTAAGGTTTTCCGGCTCCGAAGATCCAAAAAATCCTTAAACTTTTTTTTGCAGAAGGTTTTTTCGGCACCGAAAATCCAAAAAAACGCTTGAAAAAGTTTCAGGTTTTTTCGGCCCCGAAAATCCAAAAACACGCATCAGATAAAGAGCCATGGTGACAACAAAGGAATGGAGAGGAGGAGGACGACCTGCTGTAAATGGATGCATGGTTTTACAAAGTACTATTTTTCGGGTTCGATGCTGTTTTGCAGCGCTTTGAGGCAAGAGCAGAAAAAACTGTCGACCCTCGAACCCGCTTCGGAAACAAGCGTGTGGTCGCTGCCTTGTAAAAAACAGAGCACTCGGTCTTTTTCTTGAACCAAAGCGGGCGCAGCTCAGCGTTGGACTCCTGCAGACGTGAAACAACGTGAAACTNNNNTTCAGTCACACCTAAGACGAAACGAAACGTACGAACGTGCAGTCACAGACCTTTAAGCTTCACAAAACTAACTTCACTGCCGCAATCAGGACAACTCCAAGGTTAGGATTTTTCTCTCTCTTGCGCTCTGAGTCGCGGCCGCCGAAACGGCAAGTCAGTAGATGTGGCTGTACAGTGACAGCCAAAAAAGAAAACAGCCTCTATAGTCCATTTTCCTGGACTTACCCGAACTGGTTCCAAGTCCCTAGGACCTCCAACCTCCAGCCAGTGCCTGTAAGGTTTGCGGAGGAAAGCGACACACTTTGCTGGTCCTAAGCTCTAGCTGCACTGGTGGGTCTTCCTTTGAGGTTTCCTGGCAGGTTTCCCTGAGGAAGCTTGTGTAGAAACCTCCCTTGGAGGACAAAGGCCCTTTACAGAGAAGATTCCAGTCCAGACGCATAAAGCCGAGGTCTTGGAAGTGCAAATGCAAGTGTCACCACAAGGCGAAATTACAAGCGGTGTAGCGACGCCACCACCCATTGGCCCTGACTCGAAGTTTGCCAACAACCAGTGCCAGCTCCGCGTGGTCCTGATGGTTTGTATCCACCAGGTTTCGAAGCCGCTGTGGTGGGGTCCACCTCAATCCATTTCCACCATGACTCCACAGCGGAGTGTCTTCTCACTCCCCAATTGTGCTTGTTGAGATGCGAGGGTCTAAAGAACAAGGCTTGATCGACAACACGGGCGGCCCAAGGAGAAGGACTTCAATGGATGGTGGGGCAGTACACCCACGGTGGAAAGTGTGGGTGATGAGAAACACTGACCTCTACCCTATCGCGACCTCCTACTTAGTGGAAGCTTTCAAGAAGCTGACAGGAAGCCGTGTAGAGTGTAGATAGCCAGAGGCTTGGTGAGCTTCCCCCAGATGTGGGAAGCCAGTTGTCCTAAGCCAGCAACCTCCTTAGCGGCCTCAGCGATGGCAAAGAGTTCGGCTTCGGCGGAGGAAAGGGCAACTACACTCTGAAGCCTACTGTACCCCTTTA